CCGGTCGTGGGTGGAAGGTCATTTGATGATTTTTCCCTAACAAAAAAATACATTATTGTATTTATTGATGTACGTTTACACTACGTATTTACCTACTTAATTCATGTCAATTGTATTTAACATGGGCAAAGATTATTTATCACTATCAAACCACCCATTAATTTTTTGTAGCAAGAAGAATAGCTTGCAACAGAGTCTGCAATCTAAATAGAACATTATAATCCACGACTTTGTCGTCTTTATTAATATATTTTCACAAAATTTCCACACAGAAATGTCTGAAGCAGTTAGTTTTTGCTTTAAACAGTCCAATAAACTCGGTGGAATGGTGTACAGTGTCTAATGACAATCTTAAGAGCCTCGAGCGCGTTACTAAAGATTATTAAACTGGATACGGGCGGTTACAACCGGAGCGAACCGATTTTATCCGGTTTATGTCTTGATGGCGCTGGAAAATTGTTATTATCGTATTGTTTATGAAGAGTAGGTGTAATTAGATTTCTGTATTCGAATATGGTATATTAAAGAGTATACAAATAGTTTGCTTATTACAGTCCAGATTATAGATGTTCAAAAGAGTTTTTGTATACATATACTATGTACAACAACAGATAAATACTTCTTTCTTAATCACTCCTCTTCCCATCCCTTTTTTATGTGATAGGACAGCAAACGAACAATCTAATTACCTGATGGTAAGCAAGCAGGGTCTCCCGCGTACACCCGCAACACAAGAGGAGTTACGAGAACGTTGCCGACATTTTGGGGTTTTGGAGATTTAGAGATTGCGGAAGGGAAGGATTGGGCCTCCGGTAACCTCACACAAACGGCGAAACACAACGCTGTGGTTTATCCACGCCGGTTTTCTGTAAGGCTGCAGTATCACTCCAGTCCGGTCCCTTGTCCCACCGAAACAAGAATTCTACATTACACCATTACACACTGACATAAACAGAAAGATACCAAATAATATCAACTGACTTTATATTTTGCTTTCAACAAATTCACGAAGCACGTAGTATTGTAGTATTGTTCTACTTACCTACAAAGTCGCTGGGGACAATAATAACTCTGTATTCCAGCTGTAACTTGAAATCATACTCGATTCTCTTAGCTCTACTGTTGAGAGAGGTTGTGTACCTACAACGTAGGTATCTGTATGTATGTATGACTTCAACTCACTATTCCCTGAAGTAAGCACTAGTACTTTGTGTGTCTTTGCTATTTTCGAATAACCAGAGCGGTCTCAAGTGCGTTCCCAACCTTTTGAGGGTTAGGGATTTAAATTGGGTATGGGGGAAAGATGCAGGTATTAACGTGAAAAGTAATTATTTAACTAAATACATTGGAAGGCTTGACGTTTCGACCTCGTTGTACGGGTCGACCGCGACCGCGACCACGACCTGTGCGAAACATCAAGACTTCCAAGGTATTTAAATAATTACTTTTCGCGTTAATACCCGCTGAATAATATGTTGTTAACATGAAAAGCAAAAGTTTAAAAGTTTGGAAGATTGGGTCTCCAATATCCTTCTTCGCATGGTGAAACACAATGCAACTGTAGTTTCACGCCAATTTTCTCTAAGGTCGTGGTATCACTACGGTTAAACAGGTCTGAGAGCCGAAGGATGACTGACATATCTAAATATATTTCTTGTGTTCAAAGTTCTTAGGGTATAGGCTATAGCAATATTATTCAAAATTGATAATTTCATTCACAAGAATATTAAGCAAAAATAAAAGAAAAAAAATCAATTATTAAATCACTTTAATATAGAGTCACAGTACAGTCACAATTAAAATTTCTTGAAAAGTTTTCTTATCCTAATTACAAACTAGGTACAATAAATTAAATAAATTAATGCGTATTTACGAGCATTTTGTTTTTTTTTTTTTCTTTTTTTGATTACTTAATAATTTTGAAATAAAATTATTCGGCTATATTCGGTTTTTTTTTAACCGCGTAAACGTAAAGCACATCTACACTAATCACTCTGTCTTTGAAGAGAAAGTTTATTATACGAATACAGTTTAGATTGCCTGGATGTCTGTCTTGGATCTTCAATATTCCTACTTTGTAATGATAATGACTTGAATGACCAGAGTTAACGGTAGGTATAATAAATTTATAAAATGATACACAACGATATTTTACTTATTTTGCACCCCTTAGTGTTGGCCTTAAGTCCGGCCCTGGGCATGCACCCAAAAATTCATCCCATAACAAATGTACAACCCTAAATTACGAATTATCACGTAGAGGCGGTACAGTCGGGCGAATAAATTAAAACCCGCTGTTATTTCAGATTTACGATCGTGACAAATCAATTTCAGAGCTTTACTGTACAAATATACTGACATAACAAACTATTCGTGGAACCAAGTTTTATTGTGATGGCCACTCCAACATTCCAAAACTGTAAGAAAAGGTTTATATTTTTACAATTCTATTACTGAACCTATTTTAGTTTCTAGTATCGTTTTGAACGTTATTCTTAATAAAAAATTAAGTTTTATTGTTCAGTTTTATACCGCATTTTCTGAAACGTACTTATCTGAGCTCATCACTACATACCTAGTATAAAACAAATTCCATATCCCTATGTATACTTAAATTTTAAGAACTACGCAACGGATTTCGCTGCCTTTTTGCGTTTTTTTAATAAATAGAGTTACTGAAGAGGAAGTTTAATACTATACTAGTCTAATACTAATGGAAAACTTTAGTATCAGCATTATAACCGTGCGAATCCGGGGTGGGCGCTAGTTACATAAAAAACACTCATCATTTTTGTATTTTCAGCCAGGGTTGCAGGGTAAGCGCAATGAGGCACCGTAACCTCGACCCAGAGCAGGAGAAGGAACGGGGGCATTTTTAGTCAGTAAGAGTCTGACACTCCCACCCGGTCGTGGGTGGAAGGTCATTTGATGATTTTTCCCTAACAAAAAAATACATTATTGTATTTATTGATGTACGTTTACACTACGTATTTACCTACTTAATTCATGTCAATTGTATTTAACATGGGCAAAGATTATTTATCACTATCAAACCACCCATTAATTTTTTGTAGCAAGAAGAATAGCTTGCAACAGAGTCTGCAATCTAAATAGAACATTATAATCCACGACTTTGTCGTCTTTATTAATATATTTTCACAAAATTTCCACACAGAAATGTCTGAAGCAGTTAGTTTTTGCTTTAAACAGTCCAATAAACTCGGTGGAATGGTGTACAGTGTCTAATGACAATCTTAAGAGCCTCGAGCGCGTTACTAAAGATTATTAAACTGGATACGGGCGGTTACAACCGGAGCGAACCGATTTTATCCGGTTTATGTCTTGATGGCGCTGGAAAATTGTTATTATCGTATTGTTTATGAAGAGTAGGTGTAATTAGATTTCTGTATTCGAATATGGTATATTAAAGAGTATACAAATAGTTTGCTTATTACAGTCCAGATTATAGATGTTCAAAAGAGTTTTTGTATACATATACTATGTACAACAACAGATAAATACTTCTTTCTTAATCACTCCTCTTCCCATCCCTTTTTTATGTGATAGGACAGCAAACGAACAATCTAATTACCTGATGGTAAGCAAGCAGGGTCTCCCGCGTACACCCGCAACACAAGAGGAGTTACGAGAACGTTGCCGACATTTTGGGGTTTTGGAGATTTAGAGATTGCGGAAGGGAAGGATTGGGCCTCCGGTAACCTCACACAAACGGCGAAACACAACGCTGTGGTTTATCCACGCCGGTTTTCTGTAAGGCTGCAGTATCACTCCAGTCCGGTCCCTTGTCCCACCGAAACAAGAATTCTACATTACACCATTACACACTGACATAAACAGAAAGATACCAAATAATATCAACTGACTTTATATTTTGCTTTCAACAAATTCACGAAGCACGTAGTATTGTAGTATTGTTCTACTTACCTACAAAGTCGCTGGGGACAATAATAACTCTGTATTCCAGCTGTAACTTGAAATCATACTCGATTCTCTTAGCTCTACTGTTGAGAGAGGTTGTGTACCTACAACGTAGGTATCTGTATGTATGTATGACTTCAACTCACTATTCCCTGAAGTAAGCACTAGTACTTTGTGTGTCTTTGCTATTTTCGAATAACCAGAGCGGTCTCAAGTGCGTTCCCAACCTTTTGAGGGTTAGGGATTTAAATTGGGTATGGGGGAAAGATGCAGGTATTAACGTGAAAAGTAATTATTTAACTAAATACATTGGAAGGCTTGACGTTTCGACCTCGTTGTACGGGTCGACCGCGACCGCGACCACGACCTGTGCGAAACATCAAGACTTCCAAGGTATTTAAATAATTACTTTTCGCGTTAATACCCGCTGAATAATATGTTGTTAACATGAAAAGCAAAAGTTTAAAAGTTTGGAAGATTGGGTCTCCAATATCCTTCTTCGCATGGTGAAACACAATGCAACTGTAGTTTCACGCCAATTTTCTCTAAGGTCGTGGTATCACTACGGTTAAACAGGTCTGAGAGCCGAAGGATGACTGACATATCTAAATATATTTCTTGTGTTCAAAGTTCTTAGGGTATAGGCTATAGCAATATTATTCAAAATTGATAATTTCATTCACAAGAATATTAAGCAAAAATAAAAGAAAAAAAATCAATTATTAAATCACTTTAATATAGAGTCACAGTACAGTCACAATTAAAATTTCTTGAAAAGTTTTCTTATCCTAATTACAAACTAGGTACAATAAATTAAATAAATTAATGCGTATTTACGAGCATTTTGTTTTTTTTTTTTTCTTTTTTTGATTACTTAATAATTTTGAAATAAAATTATTAAGTCATTTGCTCTAACAACCACTTGTCATTCGTTCATAAAAAAATACATAACTAGGTTTGATGATAATACAGTCTACAATACATAATTTTTAACTTAATATTTTTTTAACTAAAAATAATGTCGCCATCACTATGTTACAAAATGTTCAATAACCAAATATCTAATACGGGTTGACTTTCCTACTAGGACTAGAATAAGGATTATATGGCTTTTGACCTCCTCGTCTGTAGGGCCCGGGGGGACCATACTCTATATGGTGATGGTCATGATGACCATGGTACTCCGGTTTCTCTTTAATGTAGCTGAGGAACCAGCCGAAGATATAACCAGCTTTGTGGAGCAACAGCCAGAACGCGAAGGCGTATATCAGCTTCAGGATGAAGATCTTCTTGATCACCAGGTCCACGAAGTATACTGGAAAGACGAAGTTTAGTTTTAGTTGGAGTTAGAAGAATAATGTGACCTGAACGTATAATTGTCTTCTTGTCCTTTCTATTTCAAAATAGAAGGAATTTTTCTCATGTCGTTGGAGTATTGAGATACATAAATTAAACTCAATAATAATGCATACATCACCCCCATTTCTAAAACCCAGAATAATTTATTGTGGATAACATAGTCATTGGTGTCGTGTAGATATCGAACCAATGATGTTTACATTTGTATATTATGTCATACCTACATCACATCATCAGCCTACAAGTGCCACTGCTAAGGGAAGGCCTCTTCTCACACGGAGAAGGTTTAAGCAGTAATCACCACAATTGCTCAAGGCGCATCGGCGATTTCAAAGTTATAATTAAAAATTATAGATCCAGGTTTCCTCACATATTCTCCATCACCGAATGTCAGTGGTGTCTAAAGAATCATAGAAAGTACATATAACTCGGAAAAAGTCACACTGGTACGTACAGTTTCGGCCCGCGCCCTCATCCATGAGGAGCGAACGCTTAAATCTTCGGGCCACCCCGACAATACTTAAATATTAATTTAAAAAAAAAACACAAAATAAAAGCATTTTAATCAGTCTCTCTAATTAAATTATCCACAAAACCCTGAACAACTTAATGACTTGTGTTCATTCACAATAAACGGCGTCCGTTACAGAACAAAAACCGCCAATCACTCCTAGAACAAATTGAAAAAGATGCCAAAGAATCTCTAGTGGCTTTATTCATAGTAGGCTGAGCATGAAACTGAAGGTTTTTCGAACATAACAATAAACAGAGCTTAGGAAAGTAATTGTTTCGTTCGTCCATGCGAGGCATTCAATAAACCAGTCTTATTTATTATATTAATATTAACTAGATGTCTTGCTATCCTTGTTTATACCACAGCTTATCTCTTTTTCTCTATCCTTTCCTTGTACCAACCATTTTACTAGGATCTATAACCTAACCACTATTAGCATAGCCTGCTAGACTAAGTATGTAGGCTTATCCATATTCAAATGGGTGTTTTCTATTCATATTGTTTTTTACGCAGAGATAATTTTCTTTCTCTTCGGTCCAGTGAGCCTGGAAAGTCCATTAGGTTCTTAATATTTACATATACTCGTAATGCAAATAATATACAGGACTACCGACTTATTTTATAAAGAAATGCAGATCGGACGCTATTACGATTCTAACATAGAAAGAAAGAAACATGGTTATTACAAACGCTAAATAAGAAGCACAGAGTAATTAACTATTGGAGTAAATTCAACTGTAATATGAACAAACATAATGGTGTAGATGCATGTCCCAAATCCGCACAAAAATGGCACCAGTTCAGCATGTGCAAGACGGGGCCTAGCGCTTTTAATTCCATTATGCCTATTTATTTTTATACATCGAATCGTACAAGCTAAGGATTTTACCAGCTTAACTCAAACGATATCGTAAAAAGTTAAACATCTATAAAGTATCGCCTTCCATCTGCCCTTACATTAAAATCGCCATAAAACTAACACATTTTAGGAATCAATCACAAAGTTAAAACAATAAAATAGAAGATATTATTGGTTGGGTGACAAATAGCCTCGCGCAATAGTTATGAGCCGACTGACTCGATAAAGTGGTATTCGATAATCGCTTTCCGATCGTTGTGCACATTTGAATTTATTGAAAACCGTCCATTTACCCTTTAGTGCGTGAAATATCTTCATTATTCAAAATGCATTTGAGTTTAGTTTTAATATCCAAAGTGATGTATTTATATCAATTTTCCAAATTTAATTTTCATTACTTTGTGACGTTTAACGTCTTTTAGAGTTCCGTTGTGCAAATATTTATCTAATTTATCGAATATTTTCAGTTTCTGATATACCTTCCGCGGACGTAATGTATAAAACAACGGGTTTCTTCCTGAAGAATGAAACAATTCACTTTTAAAAACTTCTATTTCTCAATTTCTATTAGATACTACTAAAACAGTGTGCAAGAGTGCAGAATAAAAACTAAAAATAAAATGACAAACTACAGAACCATCAGTTTTTGTAAAATTCGCATCTCGACGAATTTTTATATTCGACTTTACTATAAAATTATATCTTTTATTGTTGAGACTTATTTTTAATGGTCCATTTAACACTTAATATTGTCTAAAAGTAATTTTTATTTTTAGAAAATTTAAATTGATTTCATTGGTGTACTTTCTAGTACTTTTTATATCTCAAGTCGCTTTAGTAGAAACCTACTCTAACTACTTCATTATCATCATCAGCCTATAAGTGCCCACTGCTGAGCAAAGGCCTCTTCTCATACGGAGAAGGTTAGAGCGTTAATGGCCACGCTTGCTCAATGCGGGTTGGCGATTTCAAACTTATAATTAGAAATTTTAAGTCCAGGTTTCCTCACGATGTTTACCTTCACCGTATGTCAGTAGGGTGTCTAAATAATCATAGTCACACTGGTACTTGCCAGGTATCGAGTCCACACCCTCATTCATGAGAAGCGGGCTCCTTAACCTCCGGGCCACCACGACATTTTTACTCTACTACTTATTATTGCATTAAAAACAATATCTAGGTACCATATATTTTAAAAACTTACTAAATAATCCAATCTTTTTCTTCTTCCCTCTCTCCTCGACAGCATCTTCAGAACCCTCACAGAACACCACATATAAAAACACTAGCAACACTGTCAAGAAACGCATTTTAAATGGCAATACTATGCAACTGTCAAAAAAATCGTTTTATTTTAAATTGTATTCTATTGTCTGTACTGTATCCAGCCTGTATCGATCGTGTTATGCTCAAAGAACATGCTTACAGTAATTTTTAGACTCTCAAACAGCGAACAAGTGCTAATTGAAGGAAAGTCATGCCTACATACTATGTCCATATATTTGGTTACCACTTTCTACGAAACTGCTAAACAGTGAATAATAAAGTTATGCTACATTTGACAATATTGAAAATAATTTTCACGTTTTTATCGTTGTTGTTATGTAAGATGTTTCAGTGTATGTATTTCATGACTGGCATGTTTTGCTAAAAGGAAACGTAAATAAAAGAATAATAAAATTGTGAATTCTGTTTTCACTTCATATCATCAGCCTATAGTGCCCACTGTTGGCCTCTTCTCACCTAGGGACAATTTCGTCAAATAAGTGATTTCAAAGTATGACTAGAAGTAAACCTAGAAACCTATGAAAACTGGACTTATAATTTCTAGAAAGAACATTTATAACTCGGTAAAAATCACATTGCCACTAATACTTCGGGAAACCAAAAAAATAATGGTGGTGTGTTTATTTCTATTCTTTAAATGATAAAATACCTAATTATAGCTGAATAAGAGATTCTAATACCTTATATTACTGTTGGCAACTTCTCTACATTCATACATTTTCTATAGATTTATGAAAGTTTTCTCTTTATAGGACTAAACGATATAATATGTTACTCACACCAACTTCTTTATCTAAGTACTGTTCCTAATACCCACTGAGAATTACATAAAACTTATTAACAAAGAGAATTATTTTCATCTTCCTATCATAAAGATCCCCTGAGATAATATTATTACAAATCAAGTTAATAGTATTACTTTACTTGTTGTCCTAATAGTAATTATTATTTATGGAATAATTGAATTTGTATTTAGGGTAAAATAATAAAGTAACCTTTATTTGTGGCGTCTCCAAGGTTAGAAACGAACTGACGTTTTCGTTCCTCAAACATTTATTTTAAGAAAACAACATACAGGTCTTCATCACATTTTTGAGTCTTAAAAAGAAATAAAATAGTCCGTAGTCTGTCAATCCGTTCCTGAATTTAGGTTTAATGATATATTGTATAAATGATATACGGTTGGTGCGGTGGCTGGGCAACTGCTAGTGCAACGTGTCGCAGGTTCGATTCCCGCACGGAACAACTCTTTGTGTGACCCACAAATTGTTGTTTCAGGTCCGGGTGTCACGTGTATGTCAAATTGTATGTTTGTAACCGCACCCACGATACAGGAGAAAACGCTAGTGTGGGGCAACGTTTTATAAAAAAAAAAACAAAAACAAAACAAACAAATGAAACTATACATAATAATCTAATGACTTCTCTTACCATGGAAACTGTAAAACCCAACGCTATGTGTAATTCACGCCCGTTTTCTGTAAGGCCGTAGTTTCATTCCGGTCGAGCCGACCCATTGGTGCCGAAGGATGGCTCTCCCACACTATTTTACTTTTGTTTTAATAATTTCATAAAAACAAAGTCAGAAATTAAAACATTGCATTTTTTGCAGAAAGTTTGCTCTCTAATTAATACAAGACTGTACCTAAACCTGGTCTCTGTTTCTTTCTATATCATTGATCTCTTGCTAAATATTAAATAGTGTGCATGCCTTCCTAACATTTGCGTTAAATATTTTCTGTTTAATTATATCCTTATTCCAAAAAGTTAATCCATAATTGCCACTTACCTACTACCTATTTACCACAACAATCGCACTTTAAATCAACAATTCTTGTTTATCAAATTATTATAAAGGAGTTAAACTATAGATGTATTCCCACACTATATCCAAAATGTCGATTTCAATTGATAGAGCTGTGTAAATATAGTCGATCCCGGGATCGTTGTCGATAAATATGACGGTATCGATAGGGATGGGCACGGATAGAACATAAATAGCCAACGCCCACTATTCACTGGACCCTTTCGAAACCCGAGATTTTTATGAAGTCTTAGAATTAGGGTTTTTGAGATTTATTTATTTTATAGATTTAGGTACTAGAACGAATTTGTGTCGGTTTTCATCGCCTATTGAGTAAAACAATATATGTAATGTTACTTATAATATTGCTACCTTAACAGGTTGTGCAGATTATTTAACTCAGACACATTAGGTACGTAGCATAACTTGGAACTGGTTTTTTTTAGAATTCACTTTTAAAAATACACTGACTTAGTACACTTAGCAGACAGATTACCTAGTGGTAAGCAATCAGCGTGTCCCGGCAACAACACAGGACTTACGATTGCGTTGCCGACCTTTTGGGGATTAGGGATTTGGAGATTTAGGGATTGGGGGAAGGGAAGGATTGGGCCTCTGGTAATCTCACTCACACGGCGAAACACAACGCTGTGGTTGATTCACGCCAGTTTTCTGTGAGGCCGTGGTATCACTCCGGTCGAACCGACCCATTCGTGCTGAAGCATGGTTCTCCCACACTCTTAATTGCTATACTCGTCAATTAAAAAAACACAAGTTTTTCAATATGTAGGTTTATTTCAAAATAAAACAATACAAAACAACTAGAAGCATCATAGAATATACGAATGTTCTTTATCAAAAATTCCTATCACATTTATGCAGCGTAGTGGTCGCTATCGTCACACTGATAAAATCTAACCCAAGCAACATAGGCAAAAATAATATAACGACAATAAAAAGGTTGAGGGTTTCACTTATGTTGGTCTATCACCTGAATAAGGGACGGTGACCGTAATCGTTCATTTTTAGGAGTCCCGCGATTATCCCGGGGTGGAACGGCACTAAATGAGTGTAGGGTTGCCAACGCGGGTATACAACGAAGGGGTTCATTTTGAAGTAGGTTTTTATTATTTATAATATTTGTTTCGTGAAGGGGTTTAGGAGAACTGTTATAGATTTGGGTCTTACGAAGAAATACGTTAACCTTCATGCGTCATGTTGTAAAAAAGTTTCGTTCGAAACATGTTGAGAATAACTTGTATTTATTTTTTTCGAGTAGTTGAAATATGTTATTGATCATATCAAGTCAGCAAGTTAATAATTTACTTTGTATATTCAAAATTGTCATGAAATTATCAGATTCTATTTTTGTGACGAAAATTATGAATTTTTTCAGAAATTTAATGCCTTTGTTTATTAAGTTATACGATAAGCCTTGAGCGACTAGTGGGTCCATAATACCTAGTCTACAAAAGACAGGTAACGTAATAGCAACTCTTCTGGTAATGCCGTTGACCATGGTCGACGCGATGGTAAGCAATCCTGCTTACCATCAGGTGCTCCGCTTACTCGTTTACTGGTCTACCCCAAAGAGAAAACATTACTACAAACATTAACTAATATCGATTAATAATAATGTTGTAACAGTTATTAATAGTACAAAGTCATGTCATAACACTTCAAGCAATTCTAATGAATGCTACTACCAAAATTTCCGTATGACTGAATAAATCATTAGCTACGTAAGTAAACCGTCTATTTGTCAACCCTACGCCCGACGTACAGTCGCGGATGGAACTCGTGAAAATTCTATCATAAAAGCGATATGTCATGTGTGACACACTTTTGTATGTGCCTGTACAGTGACATAGTGATGTCTTGTTTGCGTTGTTTGTTTTATACGGGATCGTAATGTAACGACATCTATTAATTTTCTGCCACACTTTTTAGACACAGGAGTATACTTTCAGTACTCATGTTTTGTCGTCAATGAGGACAACAATGTATATATTTTTTTTATGTGATAGGACGGAAAATGAGCAGACGGATTACCTGATGGTAAGCAATCGGCGCCGCCCATGGACACCCGCAACGGAGGAGTTACGAGTGCGTTGCCGACCTTTAAGGGATTAGGGATTTGGAGATTTGGGAACTGGGGAGGGATTGGGAAGGGGAAGGATTATGCCTCCGGTAACCTCACTCACACGGCGAAACACAACACTGTGGTTGTTTCACGCCGGTTTTCTGTGAGGCCGTGGTATCACTCCGGTCGAGCCGACCCATTCGTGCCGAAGCATGGCCCTCCCACACTTAGAAATTGGAGAGGAAGGGTAACGTCACTCATACGGTGAAACACAACGCTGTTGTTGGTTATTTGTCAAATTTAAATAAAATCCAATCTTATTCTCAGGTACCGCGCTTCGCTTAAATATGTATATATATATATGTGTGTCGATATACATCAGTTATAACCACAAACCTATCGATCCATTAACACAACCTAAATCCAATCAAAGCAATAATGAACAAAACAAATAAAAGGCTCTCCTACGCTTGTCATTATAACGGTCCGTGGGTATCGGGCGTGTGTACGTACTTCATTATGGGATTACAATATAAAACAAATCGTGGCTATTATTGTAATAAATAAGACAGCTTGCCTTAAGCCGCGCCCAATAAAGTTTGACATTACGGGACTCAATTCCCGATAACGTTTGTACATCCCTAGTTAACAGTGGTTGTCAAACTTATGTATTTTTGTTTTTATTTAGTCAATAATTATATATATTTTAGATATTGATCCGAAATACTTATTATAGTCACCAGAGTGATTATTTTCGAGTTGGATAGTCAATTTATCGATAAAGTCTGTAGGCTGTTAACATATCATTAAAGACTAATAGGAGCGTAGCAGCGAGTGAAACCAAACAAAACAATTGATATATGTATAGCGTACCACTTAAAACTATGCAATGACGGACCAAAAATAAATGACAACACAACGATGTCTTGTAACTGAAACTTCCAGAACAACTAAGTTTAACATTACTATACGAAATTAAACGATATAAAAATCCATAAGTAAACAATAGGTACGTGACTTTGATTCTATCTTAAAGCCACGAAACACAATAACGGAGTTTGAACAGTAGCCATCAACCTGTCATCAACTAATAGGCATTAAGTTTAACAACACTCGCCCACTCTCCTCACGGATGTATAAAACTCTTTGGCAAACTCAGCAGCGACCAATTAATTGTTGTATCGGTTTTATGAGCACGCCTAATCCCGGCCACTCGGCCATCGGCACAATCATTACACGAAAACGGAGGATTACGACCTAATGAGCAACTTTGGAAACCGCTGGACGGACAAAAACATAATAAAGGAAATAAGATGTTTTGTTTTTGTTTTGAAACGGATACCAGTTTATGTGCTGTTATTGTTGTTCGAGAACAATTCATTAATATTAATCTTTTTTTAATTTATTTTGAAACTAATCATTACTTACATTTTTGATGACTCTCAAGAAATGTTCACGCAATATCCTATTCGACTACCACACAGTCGTTGAGTGCGAGTTTGCGATCAAAACCGTATCGTTATCATAGCACCGAATGTCATAAACGTTCGATTGTATTGACTTAAAGCAAACTCGCACTAGGAACTTAATAACCTTACTTATGAAGAAAAACTGACTGAAATATTATAATAAAAGAACAAAAGCCACAAAACAGTACAAATTAATTACTCAATTCTATACACAAACAAAATAACTAGACCAAGACACAATAGTTTCTATCAATCTACAAATTGATTCTCAGAGAACGTATCAAAATAATATACGAGTACGTACGGACTAAGATGGCTGCCAAATTAGAGTTTCAAGCTGGTCTAGTGACTAGAGATATCGTAGCAATATCTTGGCATTAACTTGAGCTTTGACCAAAGTAATAACTGTTCATATTTGTTCGGCAAAACTGGTGCTTTTCTAGGCAAATAGTTGAAGAATCTCCTGATATTTGAGATGGCTACCCATTGCGAATGCACACGAGTGTAGGTACAGTCAGGGGTCAAAAATGCAATTACACTCTACCAATTTTAAAATGACTAAAATTTCTTTATAGTAAAAGTTCAATGGTTCACAGCCAGTTTAGTCAATAATTTAGATTCTATGCTATAAATTAAAGCATTGACTCTATTCTACAAAGATATTTTGGTCATTTTAAAATTGGTAGAGTGCAATTGCATTTTTGACCCCTGACTGTATATATAGGTACTATTTGTGTAGTTGAAAGGGTAAAAATGTAAAAGGTATCTCTAATCGTGTGTACTTTTTATGGATAAGTGTAAACGAGCCGACGAATCACTTGATGGTAAGTAAGAACTTCAAAGCAGTTACAAATTTATTTCTGGCTGGGGATGGGGAGGGGCAGACTTGGGTCTTCAGAACCTCACTAACAATACAAAATGCACAAGCCACATCATTTCACGCTGGTCTGAGCCGAAACATGGCCCTCACTCGTCATTAAATATTCGGTTCAAACTGATTATAGCGATATCTCAATTTTTACGTAATGCTTAGAAAAAACTTATATCATATGTTGTCCAGAATTCGTTATAAGACTTCTGACCATGTACTATACTGAAACATTATTTCTATCTCAGTATCAACAAAAGTACTACAGCAGTCCAGCTTCGAGAGGTCAGTCTAAAACGCCAAGTGTCACGTGCTGGACAAATGATAGTATCGCTGCATCACGAACACTAGATTTATTTCAGCTGTCTCTATTGCTCCTTCGTGGTCGAGTGCTCTCAAGTATAACAGAGAATAAAACCAAAAAATGTTGGTTCACACATATATGTATATGACATACGTGTAAGTGCACCCACATAATGCTAGTATTCCAGCTACTGTACCTAATGTCCTAGTCTATGCCCCCTTATTACAAAACAAGATTAATAATTAGTCTAAGTTTAAGCCATTGAGTCAAGTTTCGAATTTGGAATCTTATTCTCATCTACCTTCAATTCGAAATACATAAACAAGCTCAATGTTTTAATCCTAGGCTAAAGAAAAACCTTCTTTTTTAATAAGGCCGATTATGTTTTAAAAATTAACACTATAACAGAAACTATGATAAAAACTGGGCATAGCTATAGGAGGGAAAGCGTCTGGTAACCTCAATCACGCGGCTAGACACGGAAGGAAAGCACTGTAGTTATTTCACGCCGGTTTTCTGTGAGGCCGATGTCACTCCAGTCGAGCCGAACCATTCGCATGGCTTTTCCACTATTCCTAACACGCAAAACTCGGTTTTGGTGGATGCGTCAGGGTAAATAAAGACCAGCTCTTACTTGACAGCCGAACGAATCAGTCAGCTAATATTGAAGTTCCAACACTTTTATACCAGAAGGTATTTTACCTGTAATATGAACTCGTCTCCTCCCCCGAACATTGCAGTAATACTCGCACGTAGCTCGCAAATGTTCGCATCACTCCACTCCGACATATTGCCTGCATTACTATCGAATTGAAAGATTCCCACACTAATGGAAGGTGGAATAACATCATTTGTTTTGCTTACCTTACATAGAGACTTTTGTATTGCGAATAAAGTATTTCGTGAAGTAGGAAGTAGAAGCTCTATTCAACTGTGTGATTGCCGAGCAGTTGTCACAGCTTTTACTTGCTTAATTCATCAAACCCCAAGCGAACGCGACGACGCCTTCGCGCACTTATTGTCCATCTATGTATTGTGTCTCCAATTACCACGATTGAAAGGTTAAAGCTGCTTATTGTTACTTGGTTTTATACCCCCATAATTAAGTAAATTTATAAGTACCATAATATTTTCGAAAAAAATATACTCCGACATCTCACAAAGAAGAAAAACATTAGACAACACCAAAATCGAATGACACAATAGATTCTCAATGTTGATGTTTTATAGTAATCGCTCAGACTTTGGAATTACGCTGGACTTTGGATAATTATTTTTTTAAGGGATTGTCGGTCAACGAGCATACGGATCAACCATGCATCCATCTTCCAAATAGCCTAGCTTACCGTGATGTAAGCAATCTGCACTATTTATGGCTCAATACTAAGCAGTAATAACCGCGTTGCCATTACTTTGGCAATTAAACTAAATATTCGGGAATACCTATGGAGAATCGGGGAAGATTGGGTCTTCGGTAATAACCTTATCCACACAGCAAAACAAATGAAAGAAAGAAAGAAAGAAAAAGTATTTATTCGCGTCAAAAGTATTTGTACTGCCGTCAAGCCGTGATTATCACTCGGCCCTTTTATGCGGAACCATGACTTACTTTCTCATACACTTGTCGAATTATGTCAAATTAAAACACAGAGCAAAAAAGAAATTTAACTTCCCATTTCGTAGAATGACTAGCAATCAATTTCCTGTCTGTATACAGAAGACAGGCAACAAGTATCTGCCGTGTATCAATAGTGAGGCACTGCCGCAATATCGGCTCTGATTGCACTGCGATACACTCAGATATATGTAGGCATGGAAACGCTTCCGACTCCATCCACTTTGATTGAAATTGACAACTACTCTTAAATTCATGAGAAATTATAGACAAAAGTCAAGCAAATAGGTACTTTTGAAACGTCAAAATAAAATAGTAGTAATAACAGTCTGTTTGTCAATGAAGCTAGATGCTATAGTTGACATGACACTTTAAAAACGAATTTCAAGTACCTAAATAAACAAGCTCTTTTTACAAATTTTCTGAAAACACGCTGGTATTATCTATCTCCATTAAAATGTTTAGTAGATAATCCGTCCATATCACTGAGAATAAAATTTTTCAGTGATCAGAAATACATTTTTAATCAACACTTATATATTTTTTTTTGTTGTAAATGACCAGTGCGTTGCCGGCTTTTTCGGCGTTAGGGATTTAAGGAATAAGGATTGGGGGATTCAGGATGGAGGAGAGGAAGGTTTGGGTCTCCGGTAATCTCACATAACCTACACAACAACACTTGGGTATTTACCCATTGGAGTTGTACCCATATAATAATTCGATTTTGTTCTATTGCTATAGGCTGCTTTTTATCATCACAGCACGCAGGCGAAGCCGCTGGGGGAAGCTAGTCCAAGAATAAAAGGCTACTTGCCGTTATTTAATTTAAAAGATCCATCAGAACGTTTCTCAAATAAACAAAAGCTAGATGAAGCGCGCTTTCAATTTACTTGTGTTACAAACAGATGCTGTTTAATTTCCTTGGCAGTTCATACAAAAATAACAAAACTTTGCCAACAGTCGCAGTTGCTTATTGCATCAATATTTCATAATGCATTATGGAAACTTCGAGAAAGTCTAGGCAATGATGAATACTTTATAAATCACCAGATATAGGAAATTGAATTGTTGGACTGCAAGAAAATGGTTATTGGTTGGCGAAAGATATTAGGATAAGAGAGAATGATGAATAAAATATAGGTATAGATAGGTAGATAAAGACAGCTGAATTGAAGGTGTTTTGTTCATATGACTTCTCCTGCCATTGGTGAGGGAAGAATAAATGGCAGAACCCAATCGCTGCTCTGAACTGGATCCCTTGGATATATTGGGCTTGGACCTGTAACCCCTGAAGAAGACGTAAGTGGAGATTTAAAAAAATAGCTATAGCGATTTAGCATCCTGTATCCGCGAATCGAAACGTTATGAAAATTATGTTAGTTCTAAAATGGGGTGCTGCTATAATTTACAGGTAATTCTAATTATTATTTATCAAATAACATTAACACAATAATGTCATAATAATGTTTTCAGAGAAGCTAAAAGACCTTATTTACTTTTTGATGAGAAAATATCTAAAAGTACCTATCTGAACAGAACTTAGGACCACGTACTAAAAAAAGCCAAGATACTTGACCCTCTTATATTAAAAAAGTAAGGTAAGTAGTTGTAGTAGATTGCTGTATACAGAATGGTCCAAACTAACAACAAAATAGTTTTTCTTTCTAGAACATTTAAGTATACGAAACTGCCCAAATACTTACTTTTTCTACCAAATTGTTCAGAAGTCATTTATGTTTTTCTTTTTATATGAAACGTACCGTTATATGTATAGGTTCACTTAAGAGCTATCTAGTGAAGTTACCATTTTATATATTAAATTAGTTTCCTGTTATATTACCCGAAAGATTCCGAGAAAAAGTTAAAGATATTAAATTCACGATTAATATTAAATTACATGGAAAATTGAGTAGCTCTATATCGTTAGGAGTCGTAGATAATTAGTAGAATTATGTTCCGTGTCGGTATTTTTATGGTTCTTGATAAATGTATGGGAAGTTAAAAAAACCATTAACATTCAAACTAATATTACAAATTCGGAAGTAGCTCTGTCTGTCTGTCTTTTGTTTACGCCTAAACTACTGAACCAATTTCTGTGAAATTTGATACAGACATAGTTTGGAACTCGAGAAAGGACATAGGACAGTGGCAAAAGCTAGTGAATAAATAATTTATTCTCACATCTTTTAGTTAACTGTCACATCATCACAATCACCCGATAAGTGCTCAGTGCTGACCTAAGTCTACTCACAGAAGACTTCCTCGGAGAAGATTTGAGCATTAAATTACCACGCTTGCTCAATGCGGGTTGGCGATTTCAAACTTAAAATTAGAAATTATAAGTCCAGGTTTCTTCACGATGTTTTCCTTCACCGTATGTCTGTGGAGTCTTAATCAAATGAGATTGTACATATGACTCGGAAAAAGTCACATTGGTGCTAGCCAGATTTCGAACACCTCCGGGCCACCACGACGTTACTCACTATACTTGTTAGTTAATCCTCAGTTAGTCCTTGTAAATTACATTGTTCACCTATTTGGTAATCAGAGTAACTTTTTAAGAAGAAATTTCACCCATCCCTCTACTATACATTGTGTTTCAAATCAGTCCTAAATCCTATTAGCCTGAAAGGTCATAAAATTGGCAATAAATTGTAGAGCTATAAACTCCACAGATATGACGGGATAATCCATGGGAATCGGAGAATAATTCCACAGTCATGGAAATAAATTGAAACTGAATACGAGTAAACGTGAGTGGTTTTGTTATGGGTAGCGATTTATTGTATGTTAAGGGTTTCGGATTCAGGCTGCTTAACTACGGTAAAAGAAAGTGTTAAATAACCTCCAAAATAGTAGTAGATAAAGCTTACTATTGTAAGCTTAAGCGTAATACTTGATTAATGAGATTAATGTTCAAACCTTCTCTGTTTCAGAAGAGGACTTTGGTCAGCAGTGGGCACTTATCGTCTGATAATAATGATGATGACAATAATAGTTAAATGTACATTATGATTCATAATAATGCTGTATAAATATAATTATTATTGAAAAGTACTGGTCATTGTTATTTAAATCTCCACCTATACTTAATAGGTTGACAAAATGACTTTTCCCATCCATAGTGGAGTGAGAAGGAGTGTCAGACTCTTACCAATAATTTAATTTTGAAATTTTAAAAGTGTGTACAAATAGATTTTTTGTGAGGAGAAAATCATCAAGATTTGAAGTCTTCTCCCGCACAGAGTCGGGCGGGATGGAGTGTCAGACTCTTACTGACTAAATAGCCCCCCCCCCCTCCTTTTCCTGCTCTGGGCCAAGGCCGCGGTGCCTCGTTGCGCTTGCCCCGCAACCCCGGGAAAATACATGATTATACTTTGGTTTGATACCTTGACATGCAAATACTACAAAGACGTACAAACACACAACTACAAAGAAAAATAGTTTTCATATAAAAGGCAATAAAATCTTCCGAATTTTAAAAATTTGCTCACCAAAACCGAATGCAGTCATAAAGTGCTGTATCCTCGTGTGTAAAAGCTGAATAATTTTTACAAGTGCTCGTAAAACGGAAGCTCCGTAGTAAAATCGATTTATAAAGAACTCAGTTTATTATTCAGGTATTTTTTAGCGGTCTGTAGTGCTCTATTCACGGGCAGCTCGTATGAGGTTTTAAAATTTTCATATTTTGAATTTAGGCACGTGATATAAAATTCAATATCATAATCACCAGCCTAAGAAGACCTCTTTTCACATGGGGAAGATGTGAACATTAATTCCACCGATTATCGATTTCAAACTTGTATAGGTAGTTTGAAATTACAATCCAGGTTTCCCCACCATATATCGTTCACCGTATGTTATTGGTACCTGTAAATAAACTGTAAGTTCATTTCAACTATCTAAGTACTTACACCGTAAGCCAGTGGTGTCCAAATAACTTTACATACCTAGTAGGTACTCGGACCACTCAAGTAAGTAGTAGATACTTGCTAGGTTTCGTACCCCTATTTCGTAGGTCACTGCGTAATTAGAAAAACAGATGTAAAAATCTCTGAGATTGCCCCATAAATCCATTCATGTGATGTTGATGTGAACGAAACGAACAAAGTTAGATATAAATCGCGATAAACTATTTAAGTTCACAATTTAAAACAAATAAGAGACCATACCA